TTTTTGGGGTTTAACACGACTTCTACGCATTCTTCTAACCAATCAATTTTCATGAAATTGTAGTAACCTTGAGTCGCGGATATCAAACTTAATTCTTCTAATCCTTCCATTGTTGTACTTTGCTACACTAATATTTCATAGATATCAAACTTAATTCTTGATAAAATGAATGTGGAAACAAATGGAGTTTTTTTTTTTCTTCAATTTTGATGGGCTCAGCCCAAGGCCCAAGTCAAATAGTGAGTCAGACCGAGCAAGGCCCAACTTGGATAGTGGGCCCAATCCAGACAAAGCCCAATGGATCAGACCCAAAAGAGACCCAGATCAAGTCAGGCTCACCAAAGCCCTGATAGTCAAGCCATCCTAGAATCTCATCCACGCCATCTTAGGACATGTTCTTGAGGAGATCTCTACGCCCTCTCAGCAACTACCTCACCTGTTGTGAGGATGGCGCCCACTTCACCAAATTAGCATTTCTATTACTAATAAGGCACATTAATCTGTTAAAAGACACCTATAAATTGTAAGTCTCATCTACACATGGAGGGTATTTCTCACATCTAGTCACTCCTTGAAGTAATTAAAGACTCAGGTCATCTTAACCCTGCACAGTGGAGTAGATCACTTTGACCGAACCACTTAAATTGTGTTTTACTTGTATTGATTCTCTCTTTATTTGTTTACTACATTAATTACTTGATAAGTGGTGCATAAAATCAATTTGTGCATCATCAAATTTCATAAAATATAAAAATTAAAACAGTTATCAAAAGTAAGCATTATCCTTCTATTCAACACATGGTATTACAAAAGGTTGCTCATTACATCCTGCATATTATAGTAACTTACACTATATCTTAAACATCTCTTAACAATTTTAATCCATGTTCAACCAGCTTAATAAACATGTTATAATAAGTTGGGTTAAACTCATTAACCCATAAAATAATTAAAATTTTAATATAAATACATAATAATACATCAAATGAATCACACACTAATATACAATAAAAAAGACACACTAAAACACACACACACACACACACACACACACTAATACACAAAAATTTGTACACTCATATACTAACACATAAAACACAAACACATTTAATAAAACACCAAAGTGCACACATAAACTATTACACCAAAAATATACACACATACATTAACACATCAAAATATACACACAAAAAGCCACACATTATTTTACCAAAACACACACATATACTACTACTCCAAAATATACACACGCACTAGTATACCATACCATACACACACTAGTTAGGTCTGTCAATGGATTGGATTTTAGTTAATTCGAATCCGAATAAAAAATATAATTTTGAATCCGATCTGATAATCTGACGGATATCAAGATTCCATTTCATATTCGAATCCGTTAATAATCGAACATTCGATCTAATAATCCGATCTAATCCGAATAAGTTGAATTCCAATAAAATTTATCAATTAACTACTAATTTCATCACAATAGATGAATTTCTACTTAATTTTGTTAATCTATCACACAATCCAAATATTTTTTAGCTCAAATCGTCTCAATATATCAATAATCCAACCAATTTTAATAACTAAAAAATTAAAAATATATAAATCAGATCTTACTGAGCGGATTAAAGGATTCAGCCCAAGATCATTGACCCAGCTGGAACCCTAGTTCTTCATCTTTTGCCTTTATTGCTTCTCCAAGAACCAAAGACTCAAATCTCAAATAATACCAAATACCCAACCTTTTACATGCATTAACAACTCAATACTCATGGAAATAAGAATTAGATCTAGATTATAACAAAGATCTTGAGCCTTGAAGAAAGAGGAGAACGAAAGCCTAAATCAAATAGTCCAAAAACACAGCCCAAGTATTAAAAGAGGAGGATAACAACTGAGAGAGAGAGAGAGAGAGAGATATGAGACAAGCTATAGAGTGGTTAAAGGAGGCGGCTCAAGAGACGTGTACAGAGGTTTGGGGTAGTGAGTTAGGGATGGGATTTTTTATTGATCTTTTAATATATAATTATATATATTAGGTCTGACAATCGTGTCGAGTGAAACGGTTTCGTGTCGGGTAGAAGAGGTTTGTGTCAAAAAATCCTTTATCCATATGTCATTTGTTTATATAAACGAGTTTAACTATCACACTCATACACGAATCAATTATTAGACGGGTCACTGTTAACGAGTTAAACGGGTTGAAACGAATTTATGGGTTAAACACGAAACCGGTTCATTTATTTCATGGGTCTGCCGAGTTAAACCCGTTAATTATCCGAACCCGTTAAGACTACATTCAAACCCGCTAAATCCGTGTCAGATTTGTGTTGGTTTCACGAGTCGTGTCTAGAACTGTCAGGCCTAATATATATACATATATACATTAAGTTAGATCAGATTTTTAATGAATTGGATTATTACTTATCCAAATTCAAATCTAGTTAGAAAGGTTAAATGGATTCGGATTCAGATTCAGATTCGAATTTGAATTTGGATAATCGAATTACAATTTTAATCCATATTCGATTAAATAGATTTAGATTCGGTCTAAAATAAATTCATTGACAGGCCTAGTTGGGACCCTAGTTCTTTATTTTCGATCTCCATTGCTTCTCTAAGAACCGAAGATTCAAATCTCAAACAATACCAATTACCCAACCTTTTACATGCATTAACGACTCAATACTCATGAAAATAAGAATCAGATATGGATTATAGCAAAGATTTTGAACCTTGAAGAAAGAAGAGGACCAAAGCTTGAAGCAAAAATTCCAAAAACACAACCCAAATAGCAAAAGAGGAGGACAACAGAGAGAGAGGGAAAGAGAGAGAGAGAGAGAGAGATAGATAGAGATGAGAGGGGTTGTAGAGTGCTTGGATGGGGTGGCTCGAGAGACGTGTGCAGAGGTTTGGGGTAGTGGTTTAGGGATGGGATTTCTGACTTATCTTATAATATATAATATGTATAATATATATTAAGGCGATTCGGATTTTAACAGGTCGATTTATTACATATCCAAATCTAAATCCATTAAAAAAGTCTAAACGAATTCAGATTCGGCCTAAAATCCGGTCTATTGACAAGCCTAACACTAGTACACCAAATCTACACACATACACGCATACACTAATACATTAAAACACATACATTAATACACAAATTAGACATACATGTGTATACCAAAACATATGTACACTACCACACTACTACATGAATAATCACACCTACCCTGGGATCGGGCAAGGGGTCAGGGTTGGGGTAAGGATTAGGGTTCAGCTACAGGTCTGGGGTTAGGGTTTTGGTCTAGGGTTGGGTGCGATGACTGGTCCGGTCCAATATCGAGATCGGGTTCAAGTCTAGGTTGAGTTGGCTCCGTGTCCTGTGTTAGGTCCGACTCTGGGTCCTAGTCCTTGTTGTATTCATAATTGGGATTTTTTTTTTCAGTAATACCTTGTTAGTAATTCGATTATCTTTTAAAAATATAAGAATATTTCATTTTCATTATTTTTGGGAGAAGGTCACACTGAAAGCCGAGGAGCCCATGACTTTTCTGACTAGATTAATTGTGATGGTTTGCATGTTTTGTGGGTTTAATATTTATGTTTGAAAAATGCTATAACAACCCAAATAGAATTTATCAATGGGCCTTTGGTCCAATGGTACTCCTTACCTTATGAAAATTTTGTCTTCTTAAGGTCAAAGGTTCAAACCCCCTTCCTCCTCTCCATATCCCTCCCCCCCCCCCCCCCCAATAAAAAAATTTTAAAAAAAAAACAACTCAAATGAAATTCAAAAATTATAACTCAAATACATATTATTTCTTGAATGAGTGTTGGATTAGTAAGTCCCACTAAAAAAGTTAATGGGACCTACTCATCTAAAGAATGATATATATTTGAGTTACAATTTTTGAGTTCCATTTAAATTGTGTAGTATTACTCTATTTTTCTTTCCGGTGGTTTAATCTTTAACTATTGAAAATTTTATTAACAACAAAAGAACAAACAATAAATGCAAATACAGGTGCAGTGGTTAAGAAATTGAATTTGTATGCTCAAAGTTTGAGTTCGAGTCTCCACGGTTATAATAGATTAGCGTGACTAAACCTACAATTCAGCGTCCAAAATACACGATGAGTCCTTAGTTCGACCCCGACATAATTGTGTGATGTTAAGGGACAATACTTTTCAGATAGATTATGTGAAATGACTTATTTACATATTTATTTTATGTATAAAAAAAACAATAAATGCAAATACACAATATGCTTGTTTTTTTTTTTTTGGCCAAAGAGAAAGGGTTAGGGGTACGACATTGATTTGACTCTTCAAAGTTAACTAAATTTGTTGAACCAATGAACTTTTAGTTTAATGATACTCTTTATCTTATAAATTTTTTGTTTTCATGAGATCAACAGTTCAAGTCCTTTTTTGCCTTTTCCTTCGAAAAAAATTATAAAATAATAAAAACTAAATTTGTTGAAACAGAATGATCGTCATCATTTTAAAATAAGTGAAGGATACTTCAATTATATGAAAATTAGGAAGGAACTTAACCCGTACTACATGACCCATTTTTTGGAATTAGTAAATGTTGACAGTCCCAATAGTAGATTATGTCCATGGACTAACCCTTTAGCTCGGTGACCCATTGCAATATGGTCAGGCCCAGCCACAACATGACACTCCATGATGGCCCAATGTGCAGTAGGGCAATACGCTCGGACAGACATTAACAGCCTAACAATCAATTGATGGGCACTTAAAAAATGATGACTCTCCAACCCAAAAACGTACTCTCCGTGTTACACATAACAAATTTAACAGTTTAAAAATATGTTTGTAATTCTTGAGAAATGAATTTCCATAATTTTTAAAAATTACACTTTCAACAGCACTAGCATCCCACTCGTTACCCTGCAATCCATACTAGTTTCTGATAACTATCTGCAAGCCATACTTGCTTCTAATAGAATCTACAACGTCACTTCACATAAACAACCAAAAGCAATATCCAAATCTGGAATTTTAAAATAGTTAACGTCTCCATACCATGTGCTTGCTTTTTTTCTTTTTTTGATAAAAAAAAATAAGATGCTTACACAGGAGCAGCTACTGAATTCTTGAGCCTTCCCCAAGCAAGTCATTGGTGCAAAATTTATGCCATGAAAGGCTGCACAGACAAGAGAAATGGTCATCACTTGATTCACTCTCTAAACATCATCGGCATGGATTTTGAAGTCGATTGCGCGAGAAAAGCTTGTGGAATGCATCAAACAGCCAATCCAACTTCTTGAGTAGCCGAGATATTGAACAAGAGTTTGATTGAATTCCTTGCCTCACCCTAAGATGATAGGGAAGGTCAATTTAACTCGGATCCTGAACCTGATCTTTAACCCTATGAAAAATTTTGGCACACAATTTCTGGTATTTATACTACATACTCTCAGCAGGTATTGACCAGCCTTGATATATGTATATACACAAGATCAAAATTCTTGGAGAAAAAGGGTTGTCTCATACAATATCAACAAATTCTGTGTAGATGAAGCGGACAAAGCCCATAAAGAGGTTACATCACTTCTTCTTGTCATCTTGTGGTAGCTGGAGACCCATGAGCCCTAGCAAATTGGAAGCAGGACCAGGAAGTCCTTGTTGAGAAGAAAAGGAATCAAGAAAGCTTTTCACTAGGTTCACATCTACATCCACAGGAGTAAAGTCCTCATCCATGTCCACTGGGGCATTTGATGTTCCCTGCAAGTTGATTTGTACCATATGTTATTGAACAAGATCCAAGCACAAAGGTATTGAGGAAAGTATCCACAACTTTAACAGGCCAACTAGAGAAGGAAAGACCATATAAATTATAACAACGGATATAATCATGCCAAAAAAAAAAACCAACAATGCAATTTAATGTATTCTGGTGATAATGTGTGCTGTAGATCTCTGGATGAGCAAGATTCACTTAGGCAGACCAAATTTCAGGAAGGCTCAGTGGAAAGTAAATTTTGAAAAGGAGAAAAAAAATTAAACTAAAAGGTTGAATTTTTGTTATGGCAATGAATGCAAAGGATGAAAACTAACCTCGTCCTTCTTGATAGGTTGCTCATTGGCACGGACAAAACTTTTGTCGAGTGTGGTGGTCTTCAGTTCCTCATCCAAAGCACCAGAATAGGACTGCATGAAAGTATCCCCTACCTCTTCATTATCATCACTCTCATCTTCAGACTCATCTTCATGTCAAATAATTTTGCAGTCATAAGAAACAGTAGGTACAAAGTGAGACACACACAATAAACTATAACATGGAATTAGATATCATTGTGTGCCCAATAAAGAACAGAAAGAAGAATAAGAATGTATGCGCCAAAAAACACAATAGCACAATGCCATATTTTAGCTTAGAACATACCAAAATCCATGTCTGATGAGGAACTCTCTTCACTATCAACATCACTGCCAGCATCTTCAGGACGTGGATGTCTCATCACTGATTCCACATCTTTCATGAAACGATCCACATCGAAATCAACAGAATCTAAGTTCCTGCAAAACAGATAAAACAACGAGATTCATCAGCCGACACATGAAAAGATGCTCAGAATCATGAAAGGTGTCAAAATTTCTCAAAACTGGCTATGCCGCCATACTAACGAGAGCATGAAACATAGTTCATTTACTGATAACGCAAGCTAATGTTTCCATCAGGCACAAGCATCTAAATCTAGTAACAAAAAAAGGAAGCAACCACACTAGCACAATGGATTCCATATCATTCACCCAATGCTTGAAGAAACAAAAGTAAAATGGAAGTGCCTTATGTAAAGCAGGTAAATAGCTACAATTGGCTAATGTGCAACAGGATAACCCCTCTGCTTAGCAATAACATCTCTCAAAAGATCATTTTATAAAAAGCAACACAAGTATTCCCAGACCATGTAACTGTATCTGTCAAAAAAAATCCTTGTAAAGCATGTGGGCAGATGCATCAGCCATTCCAAACAATTCTAGTTTCCACTCCCACCTTATCACCACTAAAACTCCGACCAAGTTAGCGTATTCAGATTAAGACCTGGTTTGAGCTAACATCGAGCTGGGCTTGATGTTTAGGGTTTTCTCTTGGAGCCATGATTCCCGTCTCTACAATGGTGATCCAATGCATGCGACTATTGGGGCGACCAAATCTGCCTATTGTCTTCTTCTTTGAGTTTCACCCGTTTTCTAGGAGATTCTGAGTTGAAATCAGACTGACTTTGTTGTCTGGAACATCCATCTAAGGAGGTCGTATCATCACAAAAAAAAAAAAATATTGTATTCCTTTTTGGCAGTACCAGCGCATAAAAAAGAGCATATTTTCAGACATCAGCACAGAAGTTCACCATTGGCAATGGCTAACCACACAACCATATCAACCTGATCAACCCTAGTCTTGCATTTTCATCTCAGGATAAGAAGTCCAGCAGCGGGCAATAATACAAATTTTTCTACACATATTTGTAGGATGCATCACTGCTGCTCACCGTCAAATATATCATTGCCATCCAATATGCATTACTGCCTATCACCATAGGAGCCAACAGAAGACAAATCTCAGGATGAAGGATTTAGATCATGATCCTGTTCAAGCTAATCTTGGGCTAAGTCCATAAAAATAAGCTTAATCTGATCTTGGCATGGCCCTGTAGGACATAATCCTATTACAAGAGGTGAAAATCCAATTAAGAATCACTGCATCCCACCTTAAATATTGATAGAAGATAAGTATCATCTTCAACTTTCAATGACATGAAAAACATCAACCAAGAAAGTCCGCATAATCTCTTTCTCCATATGCCTAACTATTTATTTAGCTGTTAAAAAATTAGTATATCAAAAGATCTAGCTTGTGAGTACAAAAGTCATGGAATAAGAACTTACACATCAATTTCTTGGGATGGTTTAAGACTTCTACGTACTAGTCACCAACCCTTTATAATCACCAATAGTGACATTAGCAGAAATTATAACATATTGGCATACTAGGGTGTTATTCATTGTACAATCATCTTGAACTATAAACATGAAATTTTATAAGAGTAAAAGCTACAAATTGAACAATGATAATGGGAAATTTGTGATAATTAACTTAACCAGATTGCAAAATATCGCATGTCAACGAAAGAAAGGAATGGGATCCAATCTATGCCTCAAGCTTCATGTCTACATCCTGACGTCATCAGCTTATCTAATATAATAAAAACAACTATACAAATCTCAAGTAAGACAACTGATAAAATATCAGAAATTCAGAACTAACACTCTAAAGAGAAGAAATGATGCTTAACACAAAAAGTAGAAAAATAACTAACTTCCAATAAAAGAATGATATACTAGCCTGCTTTCAGGAGCCTCTGCTCCCTCATAGCTAGACATCTTCTGGACAAATGCTTGCATTGACTTCGCAATGTCCCCAAGACCATAATCATCTGTTTTTGAACCAGATGAGGGACCAGCATCCTGCTGCTCTTTTGACTTCTGCTTCTTGTTATTTTTTAGATTATAATGTTCCATCTCCTTCTGTCTCTCCTGAAGAGCGGCATTTAGCTCATCCTCCCCACTATAAAGCCATGAATCATCATCTGACGAAGGAAGATCCAGAGAATCAAAATCATCAATGGAATGAGGGAGAGAAAGAATCTCATCTATGCGCCTCACTGGAGCATTCATCATTTCACTGCAATAACAGCACCATTTCAGTACTAGAACCAATCAAAAATACTGTTCAGAAAAAAAAAAACACCCCACCACCAAAAACTGAAGAAGTACAAGTGGTAGTATTACAGCACTAGCAGCCACAACCAGAGTCATATAATTAAAATAAGCTATTAACGTATTTAGGCCCCTCTAGTCTCAGAGGAAGAGGGAGATGGAATAGGATCAGAAAAGGAACAATAGTACACAAGCCAGTGAAACTGCACCAAGTGAAGCTATATTATCAGATAGTTTGCCTAATAACCACTAGGTGAAGTTGTTAGGCTCATCCTATCCAGAAAGATGACATCAACAACCAATACAGTAACAACTATTCATGATCACTGCTTAATAGGTATCAGAATCAAACTACGCTCTTGTAGAGTTTGCCTAAACAAGAATTCTTTGAAGTTTGCCATGGGATTCACCAAACAGACATTTCCATATCCGACAAAGCCTGCATACAATCCTAAATAATATGCAAATGCAAAACCTATGTATCACTCACAAAAAGTGGCAAATCGAGACTTCTTCCGCAGCTCAAGCCCAATATGCGTAGATCAAACTTAGAATACAATTGTCATTAAACTAAAGTTTTAACATCAAACAACTAATAAATGTATAAGAACGCATACCTAGCTCTCGAATGCAATGAGCTATTCCTGTAATACTCCTCAGCATTTTCAATCAACCTTTTATACTCCTTCGAACCCGGCAACAACCCTTGAAAGTACCCACTCCTCTCCAAACTCTCCATGAATTTCTCCCACGTACTCCCCTTCCCTTCCAACCCCTCCTTTTTTCTCATCTGATACATCATTTCAAACCCACAAGTAATCTTCATACCCAACTCAGCCTCCACATAAGCCCTCACATCAGTCCTCACGGGCATCGGGTAGCATTTCGGCGCCTGAAACGTTTGCTGGACTAGCTGCGCATACATGGCCCTCGACATTCTCACAGACACAGTAACCATCTCCTCCCCAGTCCCTTTCGGCATAAACTTCCCCATCTTCGCGGCAAACTTCATTGTATCAATGTCTCTATCATAAAACCCCTCAACCGCCAGAGAAATCAAACACGGCTCGTGTTTCAACACCTGAGCAACGGATACCGGAACCCTAACCCTAACTCTATGCACATTTTTCTTCGCCCTTTCTGGGTAGTCTGCAATCTTATTCTTTATTGCTAATTGAACTGATTCAGTGGCTTCAGTTTTGGTTTCGAATTTCATTATGTATGACAACGAATCGAACAGCGAAGGCGTTTGTGGAAATACAGTTTTGGGGACAATGTGAAGGTGCCCATTGCGAATGAAGATTCGATTGGTGGCGGTGTCGGGGTTGAGCCACCGGGGGAGGTGAAAAGCGGTTTCGATTAAAAGGAATTCTCCGTCAGTGTCCCAAACGCGGATTGAGAGGTTGGGGAAGTGAAGAGAGGTGTGGAATAGAAGGAAAACGATGAACCATTCATCGTCAAGGTTGTCACCGTAGCGGAGTTTGCCGTGGAGGTGGGGGATGGAGGCGGAGCAAATACAGGTGGCGGTGGGGGACGAGAGAGAGACAGTGAAAGGCTCGTGTTGCCAGATGTAGTCGGAGGTGTAGGGGGAGAGGGTTTGGAGGATTTGGAGGTGGAGGGATTGGAGTTGTGAGGAGAGTTCAGAGGTGGAGGTGGAGGTGGAGGAGGATTGGGGAGTGGAGGGGATGGAGAAGTCGGGGAAGATGGAGAAGAAAACGGTGTCGTCTGGGAGTCTGGAATTTTTCTCAGAGAAGATGGAGGAGAAGGAAGAAGAAGAGTTAGGGTCTGCTTCCATGTCTATTCTCTGAGTTGCTCTGATTTCGCGAAAGCTCGCAGGTTAATAGAGGACGGGTTTGCTTATTTTAGGTAGAATTTCATTTCGCTGATTTATGGGAGAATTATGGTCACACGAGCTTGGTCACTTGATTACTTACACTCTTCAATATTTAGAATACTACATACAAACTTACTAAAATTTTACTAATACTTCAGGCTTGTTTTGATAAATTTTGGAGAGGGTTTGAATTCAAACCCTATTTATAAAAATAAAATTTAATATTTAATTCGGTTCATACTTATGTTTGATATGTAACATGTATAACTCACAGATACATCATAATTATTAACAATTATTTGTCTTTTAAATAACTATTTTATCCTTGATCAATCCAATTTATACTCATATTAAGAGGTACAATTGTCTTTTGTATTTTTAACGCATCTTTTCAAACTCACCCCCTCCCTAGGTTTGATGAAACTCATAATCATGGGTTTAATCTTCGAGACAACTACAAGCTACGTTTGAAAATTTAAAATTGAATTTTTAATTCAAACATGAGATTTGGAGTCTTTTGAACTATTTTCTCCAAACTCATTTTGACAAGTCCTCTCATACCCCTTTACTAAACAGCCCCTTAGACACTTGTGTTCAATGTCCGTTAGTAAATTACACACAGGCTCTCCTGAGGTTAGTAAGTTTGTAATACTGAAATTTTTCAAGTTTAAAATATTATATTTATATCAAAAATATTTCAATCAAAAATAAATATCAAATATTTTAAATTTTACGACCAAAATTCATATTCTATTATGATATTTATAGAAATAAAATTTTATTTTTATTTTTATTTTTATTTTAATTTTTTTCTTAAAAAATCCTACTTAGTATATAATTATACTATTTATTAGAATTTAATTTGATCGTTTAAAGGATCAAACTAAATTACCAAATTATCTCAATTAAAACTAAAAGATATTATATCTATTACAGTTTGATTTCTTATTTGATTTTCTAATTTTATTTCAATAGATAGTATAAAAAATAAATAAAAAAATAGAAAAAATTACACCCAAAATTCCTAAGGTTTGTTACTTAATCACTTAGACTCCTTGACATTTAAAATATTATACACAAACCCCCTAAGGTTTGTACCATTAATATATCTATTAATAAATTACACTTAAACTCCCTAAAAATTTTAAGTGTATAACGCTTAGACCTCTTAAAATTAAAATATTACACTTAAACTTTTTATTAGTTATGTAACTAACAAATCTATTAAATTAACCAATTATCCCAATTAAAGAAAGAAGACATTGTGTTTATTACAGTTCCATCATTTGTTTTATTTTAAAGGACAATATAATTGTATGCAAATGATTGTTGAATTAAGTTATTTAATATATTTATACTGATTATTATTTTTTCTTCAAAAAATTAAGATTTATTTGGGTTTTATGTCAATAGATGATATACTGGAACATGCAAATGTATTGATTACGTTTATTTCATATGTTCGTACTTGACAATGAAAAAATTGATCCAAAGTAAAAAGTTTATTTAGTTCAAGAACAAATCTTAGAGCCTGTGTGTAATATTTTAAATATTAGAGATCTAGATGATTAAGTGACAAACTTCAGGGATTTGATTATAATTTTTCCAAAAATATAAAAATAAATTTCAATAACACCTATAAAATGGTAGTTCTAGTAAAGATATTTACGTAAAATCAGATTCCTATGCAGTGATATTTTAAATACTAGAATGGGTGTCAATGAAATATTACATAAATACAAGGGGGTGTCAATGAAATTTACTCTTAAAACTATTATAATATGCCTCCGCAAAAAGCATTCCGTTGCCATGGATGACTAACAAAAATTAACAAATCTTAATTTTGAAGAATATAATGTAAAAATTCTTTGGAAGAATTACATCAAGATCTTATGGGGTTTATCACTTAATCATTTAGATTCCTTAACATTTATAATATTAAATACACACTACCTAAAGTTTGTATATACGTAATGCTTAGACCCTTGTCATCAATGTCCGTATCCAGTAATAAATTATCTCTAGACCCCCTGAAGTTTGTAAGTGTATAATACTTAGACTACTCAAGTTTTTGTTTTACTTAAACTAAAAATACTTTAATCAAATATAGAATATCAAATATTTTAAATTTTATAATAAAATTCATGTTTTATTATGATATTTATTGAAATAAAATAAAAAATAAAAATCTATTTTTTTCTATTACCATATGTTATGCCCTAACCTAATTATGGTCACAAATTATATGCCCATTTTACACATTATTATTATTAAATTAATTATATGAAAAATAATACTAAATTAATATTGAATTTCATTAAATCAACACTAAATTTATTTTGAATTTTATAAAATTACTACTCAATTTTATCAAATAAAATTTAATTATATCTAATTGATATTCACTTTTATCAAATTAATACCAAATTAATATTATATTTAATCGCATTAGCACCAAGTTAATCTTCTATTTTGTCAAATTAACATTAAATTTTGTCAAAATTAATATTTAAATTCATAAATGAACTTTTAATTCGTCCAATTAACATTCAATTTAATCAAACTAGTGCCAAGTTAATATTTAATTTCATCAATTTAACATTTATTTTTATCAAATTGATATTAATATTTATCATATTAACACCAAATTAATATTTAATTTTATCAAATTAACCATTAGTTTTATCAATTTAATATTCTATTTTATGAAATCATTCAAGTTCATCAAATTAATATGAAATTGACCTTAAATTTCATCAAATTAACATTTGTCGCCACCAAATAAACATTCACTCTTATCAAATTAACACTCAAATTTATAAAATTAATGCCAAATAAATATTAAATTTTATTACATTAACATCAAATTAGCCTTTAGTTCTATCATGTTAATATTCAATTTTACCAATTTAACATTCATAATATCATTGATTTAATTTAATTCTAAATTAAAATTTAATCTCATCAAATCGACACCACATTTATGTTCAATTTTTTAATTTAACAATTAATATTATCAAATTAATATTATTTTTTAATTTAACACTAAATTAATATTCAATTTTTTCAAATTAATACAAATTCTATCAAACTAGCCTTCATTTTTTAAATTAAACATTTAAATTTATGAATTTGACATTTAAATGAATTTTATTTATTTAATTTAATACCAAATGAACGTTTAATTTTATTAAATCAAATCAAAAACAAATTGACATTCATTTATCAAATTAATATTAAATTTTATGGAAATTAATATTTATTTTTAAAGCTAATATCAAATTAATATTCATTTTTTTTTTTTATCATATTAAGACCAACTTAATTGCCTACTATTGTAGATTGAAGTTGGAGCAAATTGGAATTTCCAAAAAAGAGAAGATGACATTATATTAATCTCATTTTGGTTTATATACATGCTAAGAGTAAAGTTGGTAATCCATAAGGGAGTATACAAACACAACACGTGTTTTTTTAGTTGTTAGTAACGACATATTTTTAATGCATTTAAGATGCAATATAAAATATTTAATCTTTAAGAATTTAAAATAAAAATCTTAAATTTTTAAGGGTACAAAATGAGATTCTCCCTTTATTTAGTTTATGTCAATCTTACCCGTCGACATACACATGATATGAACCCAACATAATATTATTATAAAATTGATACCATTAATAAACACAAATAATAAATAAGTTAGATTATATTTAATACTCATAACACATTAAATAATTTTTTTTGTAGATATTAACATAAATATGATATGAATTACAATGGACATAACCCAAAAATAATAACACGCATATCATATGATACAACACAAATTGACACTCAGCGTGTGGGTTTATTTGTAGACCTGGCCATTCTTTCATCAGTGGGCAGGGTCGTGGGCCAAAATGAGTCGAATTGTTCCAAGCTTTGCCTATGGACCAATCCGATCAAGACCATAATTTACAAATATATCAAAGTACTTTTAGATATTCAATGTATTATTTTTTAAAAGTAATATTAACATTTAACAAATATGAATGAAATATACAAGTCTAGGAAAAATAAAGTATTTTTTGACAATTTTAAAACCTTTTAGGGGAATAAGTCTAAGCACATTTTTTTTTGAGTCTTTAAGGACAAATCCAATTCAAAAGAATCATTTACTCTTATGTAAATAAAAATATAAAGTTGAATAATAACCATATAAAATGCACAATTTAGAATTCAAATAAAGTCAAATCTCTTTGGTTTTAGATCTTTCATATTTAGAACTCTTTAGATAGTGACAATGCCACTATCACCGTCTTGAATAGTAAAAAAAGTTCCACTATCATTGTCATGTGATATTGAAAAGTACAAAGTGAGAATCGAGACATCTTTCGGAGTGTAAAGTATGAAAAATCCTTTGGATTTAATCATCAATTACAGTGAGTTTTTGAACAAATATAATTGCAAAATTTTGGTAGGAATTGCCGAGTCCAAAAACTAGAAAATATAAACATGATTTAGACCAATCTATATACAAAATTGTTGTAAATGCATTGACAAATCACATTTTAATGGTATTGTCATAAGTTGTCTAAAATTTCCAACGTGCGTTTCACCCACATGGACAAATTAGACAAGGTAATATTGGCTAACAAAATTAAAACATTGTCTTTATCACAGTCTTTTTCGAAAAACATATCGCAATTGCAAGCATGTGTGTCATTTTGTGAATATAGTGAAATACAAACGTATATAAGAAAGTCAACGATATTAAATTTTGTATTATATCGAAAAACTAATTATTACCAAATCAGAATCCTCAGATTCCAGCAATTATGTTTTAACAGATCACAATCCCACATTATTAGCTAGTTGACTGTTACACATTTATTTGTACAGATTTTCATATTATTTCCATGAATAGAATTACTCCATATATAGACGTGTAATACTTAAAATAATATAAGAAAACATTTTTTATCCCATCACTTTCTTAACATGGTATTAGAGCCAAAAAGATCCTCAACAGACCTGTGAACAGTTTCTATGGCTTG